ATGCTGCGCTGCCTGGATGTGGGGAGACAAAGCTTGGCGTGCTCACCAAGCCACACTGTGCCCCTGCGGTGTGTGTGTGGTGAGCTGAGATGATGCCACTACATTCCAGCCTGGGCGACAGAACGAAATTCTATCATAAATAAATAAATTAATAAAAATAAAATACTTTAGAACAAAGATATTTAAAACATTCAAAGAGAGAAAAGAATAGAAACCAAAAGCCAGATAGGATATTGTTAGAAAAACAAAACAGAAGGCTCTGGAAAAAAAATTAGTATGAAAAACAGAAGGGTCTAAAAAAGAACCAAATACAAATTAAACAAATGAAAAACATAGTCACTGAAATTCAAAAATGAAATTTCAGTATATGGATTAAACAGTTGAAGAGTTAAATGGTAAACTGGAAGAAATGTAGCTAAGAGAGAAAAAGAAAGGTAGAAAACATGGGAGAAAAATTAAGACATGAGGTTTAATATGAGAAATTTCAACTGACATCGAACAGTATCAGAGAAAATAGGAGACAGGAAATAAGCAAAGAGAGATCATGCCTGTACTCTCAGGTTAAACAAGCAGACCAAGTTATATGCCATAGGAGAGAACTCTCTGTTGTTGTTTTTTTTTTTTTTTTGAGACAGAGTCTTGCTTTGTTGTCCAGGCTGGAGTGCAGTGGTGCCATCTCAGCTCACTGCAGCCTCTGCCTCCTGCATTCAAGCAATTCTCCTGCCTCAGCCTCCTGAGTAGCTGGGATTACAGGTGCCTGCCACCAAGCCCGGTTACTTTTTGTATTTTTAGTAGAAACAGGGTTTTGCCATGTTGGCCAGGCTGGTCTCAAACTCCTGACCTCAAGTGATCCGCCTATCTCAGCCTTCCAAAGTGCTGGGATTACAGGTATGAGCCACCACACCCAGCCTTAGCAATATAAATAAAAATCCAACCTAGATACACTGGTGTGCATACAATTATAGAATAAGAAAAGCACAGGAAAATACTAAAGCCCACCAGAGATGAGGAAAATGATTAGACAGACAGAAAGCTTAATGTCAGCCACGAGAGATGCCAGAAGACAATGGAATAGCACCTTCAAGGTCGTGAAGGAACAGGATGACTTCTTGGGAGAAATGCGCAAAGGTAAAAATATAAATAGGGATGAAAGGTATCATCTCACTTGCACAAAATTTTACATGATATGTATTTCAACAACAACCCAATACCTCTAACAAGAGAAAATATGCTCAGAACTGGAAATAATGTGCCAAATTAATCCTTCAAACCTTATATCAGTGAATATCATGTGACTCTTCCCAGTGAAATGGTACCTATTACTCAGAATAGCATTAAGCAGTTCCTTAATCTGATGATTAAATTACTCTAAGCCTTTCTTCCCATGGCAGCCCTGGTACTTCTTCAGATTTCACATTTCTGGTGCAGTCTTTGACGGGAAGGGATGAGTCTAGGATTTGGATCCTTTGGCAGAAACACTGGGAGCAGAAGAAGGAGGGACAAACAGTAGGGCAGTCCCATGCACACTGGCTCTCTCTTCTCAGCTGTCCTGCACAGTGATTAAATCCCTTCTCCTGACTTCCTTATCTCCTTAAAACTGCCCGGGGGCTAACGCTGCTTCTACCACAGGAAAGAAACACCTAACCGAAGGCGCCATTGGAGCTTAAGAAGGGCTGTGGTTTTCCACAGCAGCTGGAGGAAAGGGATAGTTTGACAAGGATGAACAAACATTCCTGAGCTGAGGCATGGAATGGAAGCAGGTGCAACCGGCCAGCTGCAAGACAAGAGGGAGTGGTAGGAACTGTGGCAGCCAAACAACCTGTGCTCCAAGCCCAGCTTTCCCAGATCTCCTAGTTTTTCAAAAAAACCTAGAAATCCTAGTTATTCTCAATTAGATTTTCTGATTTAAAAAAAATGTTGGTAACTATCTCACAGTGCTACTAACAGAAGACAAACAAAGCACATGTATAGGCTGGCTCAGGCCCAGGAACAGCCAGATTACACCCCCAACAGTGTGCCCTTCTCTCCGAGGAGCAGTGGGAAATCTCTGACGAGATGCAGGATGCTGCACTGCCTGGACATGCGGAGATAAAGCTCAGCCTCCTCACCAAGCCACACTGTGCCCCGCACTGCGTGTGCCTCCCAGCTTAGAGAAGAGAGCTTTGCATAACTCAGGCCCGAGGTTTCCTTCCACGCTCTCCTTCTTCACTGCACTTCCTGCCTTACAATCAGCTTCGGCGTGCCTTGTACTCACTGTCAAGAGTTTTACTGTCTGCAAGGGGGTCTGCCTTTGAGGGCTTAGGGAGCGAGCTCTGAATAAGTAATGTGTCATAACCTTGAATATTTAAATGCTGAGCGCCTGGAGCCAGCCCTTGATTCTCTGCCAGCTTCCAATCTAGAATCTGTCAGTGGATGGACCTTGGAAGAATGAAAGCGGGGACACACCGTATCTGTCTGGAGAAAGGGCCCAATTAGGACAGAAGTGAAAAGAAGCAAATAAAATCACTACTCCAGATGGATTGAAAAAGGCTTGGTGAGGGCTTGCATTAGGATGGTGCTGCTCCTGGTAAGTAGCAAAACTTCAACAAAAAACACTTGGCACCTAGACTTAGCTGAAAGGGCCTTGGAGACAGGATCAAAGTAATAATTCCTGTGACCACCTGTCGTCCGGAGGAAGCTAAACCCAGCAAATAATGACGCTTAGTGCCTCTTTGTTGTTAAAGAATTTGAAGTTTCATTTGTATTTAAAACTTTTTCTTGTGTTATTGTTTTTCCACCAGTGCCAGTTCCCAACCCCTGGAGAAGATCTAAGGCACCTTCTAGGAGAGTGCACAGGAGGGCCTGGAGGGATTCAGAGGAGCCCATGCCACCAACACACTGATGTGCTCCCATCACCCAGCCCAACTTGGAGCTGGGAGCTCTGAAGGCTACCAAAGAGGACTTGTGGAGAGAGGAGGGCTCAGGGGTTTAAGAACAGCTCTTTCCCCTTGGTGGCAACTGGAAGACCAAGAAATAAGAATGGTATCACAAGATGGAAGGAGCTGGATCCCTGAGTTACTGCCTGGAGGGCTGCCAAGGAAAGTTGCTCAGTCTTCATCAGATTTTGCACAAGCAAAAACAAAAAATCCTTTCATTATGTTGAGCCACTGAGATTTGGAGATTGTACATTACTGCAGTATAGCATAGCCTACCATTATCCTCAGGTAAGCCCCTAAGGGATGGGGGAAGGGTGGTTTTTGGAGCAGGTATTATTACTTAGCCTAAGGTAAAGTATCTGTTGTAATGTGATTTGGATGAGGAAGAAGGCATTATATTAAATGGAAATGCAGGCTGGGTGCAGGTGGCTTATGCCTGTAATCCCAGCCAAGGTGGGTGGATCACCCAAAGCCAGGGGTTTGAGACCAACCTGGCCAACACAGTGAAATCCCATCTCTACTAAAAATACAAAAATCAGCCGGGTGTGGTGGCATGAGCCTGTAATCCCAGCTACTTGGGAGGCTGAGGCAGGAGAACTGGCTTGAACCCAGGAGGTGAAGGTTACAGTAAGCTGAGATTGTGCCACTGCACTCCAGCCTGGGTGACAGAGTGAGATTCGGTCTCAAAAAAAATGCACATGCAGACTCTAAAAGTAGCTTGTCTGTATTCATATTCCAGCTCTGCCCCTTGCTATTTGTATAACATTGGGTAAGCTTTTCTCTCTAGGCCTCAGTTTCCCCATTTTAAAATCTGGCTTATACTTACCTTAGAGACCTCAACAGACTGTTATGAGTTTAAATGAGATAATCCATAGAAAATATTTAGTATGAGGCTTGACACTTAGTAAAAACTTAAGTCTTAGTTGTTCCCTACTCTCTTTTGGACTTTACATCCCAAACCCTCACTAAAGTTAAATGTGGAGATGAGGAAGCAAAAGTTGGAAGTTGCCATTCACTGTCATCACTTGCATGATCTTGACATTTAAAGAAACTCCTGAAAGACTAAAAAGAAAAGAAACCAACCTAGTAGAGGTTGTTGCATGGGCTGAAGAATGCAATCCCCTCATACAACCACCACCCCCAACATGCACACAAACACCCCATGGCGGAGTCCACCCCCAACATGCACACAAACACCCCATGGCGGAGTCCCATTCACCAATCCTATTTCTTTTCATTCCTGGGCATACAGCTACACCAGTTCCCAGCCTCCTGGCTCAGTTCTGTTCCATCTAGTAGCATGTGGAAGTGGGCATGGCCAAAGCCTATCCTCCTATGCAATGTCCTCCAGGCAGCATGACCTTAGAAGCCATGTGTGGAAGATGGTAAAGCTGAAAGATGGAAGGCACTAGGTCTCCTGCTTGCAGGAGAAGTTGCATGGATGAAGAGACCCAGTTGGATTTGACGAGCAGGACTAATAAACTTCCAGCAGGTCTGACCCATGATACACTTTGTTGTTATAGACTTGTTGCAGCAGTTAGAGACACTTGTTTTCTAATAAAATGTCAAATCTTTTCTAGTTCAGGTGTTTGACTTATGTTGAAAAAAATGCTTACCTTTTAAACAGAATTTTAATTTAAATTTGTGAGAATAAGTTATACTTATTTATGGAAAAACAACAGGAACAAATTTTGAATTCATTTCTTCCAAGCATCTCTACCAAGTTACTGCAAGCAAGGGGAAAGTTTAAGTTGCCCTGCCCCCTGCCTCCCTGATAATCTGGGTCCATCACTCCCTAAGGACATTTTCTGAATTCTATTAATGTGAGCAAATGGTGCTGTGCAAGGCAGGCAGGAAAATCAAGGGGTTATGAACATTTTATCTTTGCACGCTTGTGATAGTTCATTCACTTATTCACATGTCAGAAAAGGAGAGAATGTGTGCTCATCATTAATCGAATTAAACGCCTAAGCCTGGCCACCCCTCCTAACCATGCCTTCCGTAATTCTTTCTTTGAGCTAAATTTTCCTGCGACTCTATTTTCCCACCCTGAAGTACCCAACAGAAGGGCAACTGGTCACTTACCCAATGCATGGATTGGTCTGGTACCTCGGTGCCGTGTAGGAGAAAGGAGAAATGTCCTTATCGACAAAAGACCCGAACCCCAACCGGAAGTTGCTGGTGAGCTTCCTCATCTCCTCTGCGAGTTTGGTGCCCAGATTCCGGATATTGTCCAAGTCATCCTTCATGGACAGGGAGAGGTCCATCAGGTAATACAGGTCCACAGGATAGTCCTCCACCTGGCGAACCTGCAGCTGGAAGGTGGTCTTGTCACCTGCACCAACAGAGCGGCCACGTGTGTTAGAGGCTGTGTGACCTGTTGAAGGCTGAGTGATGGGATTTGCTTTCAAAGCTGGCTTACCTCTTACTTTTCTTTAGTGATTGTGTACCTCCCACAAGAAAGATTTTGTTGGAAGTAAAGCACCTGAAGGGAATATGGTGCTGAGGATGGAGGCCTGGGTTCTACTTCCCAAACCTTGGGCTTAGCATTTCTTATTTTATTTTATTTTTGTGAGACAGAGTGTTGCTCTGTCACTCAGGCTGGAGTGCAGTGGGACAGTCTTGGCTCACTGCAACCTCTCCCTCCTGTGTTCAAGCAATTCTCAAGCCTCGACCTCCTGAGTAGCTGGGATTATAAGTGTCCACCACCATGCCCAGCTAATTTTTGCATATTTAGTAGAGACAGGGTTTCGCCATGTTGACCAGGCTGGTCTTGAACACCTGGCCTCAAGTTATCCACCTACCTCAGCCTCCCAAAGACTACAGGCGTCAGCCACCATGCCCGGCCTGGGTTTAGCATTTCTAAGGAAACTCCTTAACAACCAGGCTCCTTGGTGGTGTTCTGTCTTCTCAGCAACAAGGACCCTTGGGTCATCAGCAGACAGTAAGCCAGACAATTTCATGGACACAAACTAGGTGGAGAGTAGCCCACCAACCACATACCAACTCCAGCAAAACACTCAGTGCGATGAAAATGTGTGTAAGAGAGATATGGGCCTGAGTGGGGAAGAATCAAGTTGGGGACAGAGATATGCAAGGCAAGGGAGGGCAGAGAAACAAAGATGGTTGTTTAAAATTTCCCAATGGGCAAAAATACACATGCCTATGCCATGTCACCTGTTTTTGTTTCTATTTGCCTCACCATTTACCAGACTAGTATTTAGTTTGGGGGGCATATTTGATGTTTTGGGACATCACAGTCACAACTCGTTATCATCAGAAACTTCATATATAAATACAGGAAGATGGATTCCAGATTCTAGCTCCATCAAAAAAAGAAAACGAGAAGAAAGAGAAAAGTCACCCTAGATTTGTCTACCAGTTACAATAAGACAGCCAACAGGCAGAGAAGAGGGGAGTTAATTCAGAGGAAAAGAACAAAGAGGAAAGCCAGTGTCTAGTAGGTGTGGTCTTTACTGTCTCACCCTATAGAGTTCAAAGAGAGGCTCAAGTCAGAGCAAGGACCCAGGCCAGGATAATGATCCTTTCTTCCCCCCCGAGACAGAATCTTGCTCTGTTGCCCAGGCTGGAGTGTAGTGACGTGATCTTAGCTCACTGCAACCTCCAGTTCCCAGGTTCAAGTAATTATTTTGCCTCAGAATCCCGAGTAGCTAGGACTACAGGCACACACCACCATGCCCAGCTAATTTTTGTATTTTTAGTAGAGATGGGGTTTTATCATATTGTCCATGCTCGTCTTGAACTCCTGACCTCGTGATCCACCCACCTCGGCCTCCCAAAGTGCTAGGATTACAGGTGTGAGCCACGATGCCCAGCCAGATAAGGATCTTCATAATTTATAAAAACAACTCACTGGCCAGGTGCAGTGGCTCATGCCTGTAATCCCAGCACTTTAGCAAGCAGGTGGATCAACTGAGGTCGGGAGTTCAAGACCAGCCTGACTAATACAGAGAAACCTTATCTCTACTAAAAACACAAAATTAGCCGGACATGGTGGTGCATGCCTGTAATCCCAGCTACTTGGGGGGCTGAGGCAGGAGAATCACTTGAACCCAGGAGGCAGAGGTTGCAGTGAGTTGAGATTGCGCCATTGTATTCCAGGCCAGGCAACAAGAGCGAAACTCTGTCTCAAAACAAACAAACAAAGAAAAAAATCAAATCACCTAGAACCAACTTTAAGGCTCAACTCATACCAGGTCATTCTATCTGCCTTGGGCTTATTAACCTTTCAGGAATGCCAAGAGATGTCCTATTTATCCTGCAGTAGAACCGTCTATACATACTTGAAATTTGGATAGATTCTTTGTGTATTTAGAGTCACAACAGCAAAGGTGGCCTCACTTCTGCCCAGCGGGCCTACACCTGACTTGCCAGCAGCATCTCAGAGCAACCAGTCTTTCATCTCAAGCTGACAACTAGCAAACTGAAGCCTTCTTGAACTTGCAGGGAACTCAATCCTCCATGCTCCCTCTCCTCCTCCCACCAGGACAACAAGGCATGTTTCACTAACTAGACCATGAAGAATAAAATGATCAAAAGATTTTGGTTCAAGTTCCAGCTCTGTCCCTTGAATAGGAGTGCAACTTGAGCCTCGGTTTCTTGAAATATAAAATGGAACTAACAACAACACTCACAGCATCAGTTAAGCCTATGATGTGCTCAGGAGGGAGGGCAGTGTTTTATGAGCAGTACAGGCTTGCACAGATGAAGTATGATTATGATCATTACTGCCTGTAGCCAGTGTGGCAGCTCTGAGCCTGCTTCCCCTGACTTGTCTTTGTGTGTATTGTTCTAGGCGCCTAGGAATTGATGGAGTTTGAGTTGCCTATTGGTATAAGTCTACTTTTTAAAATCATCTGAGTCTGACTCAAACAGGAATGTTCAAGACTTTCTTCCAGAATGAATTCCAGATTGCTGCAGTGTCTGTCTCTGGCTCCTGTCAGACAGACACAGCAGGTCCTGCCAAAAGACTCTTTGGGTGCCACATCATAGTGAGGAAGGGGCAGGGAGGAGGGGAGAGTTGAGGAAGGGAAAATCTCTCCTTGGCCCTTGGGCAGATGACAGACCCCAGATGGACAGAGCCTGCAATCCTATCTCCTCCACCTGATGCCATGATCTTTTCGCAGGTCTTCTTCATTTTTTGCCACCTGTCTCCCCAAGTTCTCAGTTACAACTTATTTTATCCAGAATCTACTTCTACTTTTTTATGAATTCTAAGAAATTAACAGATGGGCATTTTAGAACCAGGAAACAAAGAATGGGCTTGGATTCTGGGAGGTGGAGAGGCATCTATGGGACAGAGGCTTGGAAGCAGGGGAGCTGGGTTTGAATCCAGACCTGGTCACAAGGACTTGGGAGAACTCAGGCTGCCTTCAACACACTGCTCAGTTTTTACATCAGTCAAGTGGGAAGGATATTAACTATTGTAGGGATTAAAGGAGATAAACACCACACAAATGTTCCTACACAAAGAAAACTTTGGCCTCCGTTTTCCCAAAAGTCAATTACTAAAGCAATTTCCTGTGAGGATAAAAAGAGAGATAGAAAATCCTGCCAGAAACTTGAATTTCAACAGCTACAGCTTTGAGCATATACATTTAACCCCAAATTTTCCAGACATGAAGGCAGAGGGAAAGAAGGTATGATATATAGGTCCCTTTGTATCCTAAGAGACTATCTATTCTGGAGCAAGAAATTTGGCATTACGTTCTAAGAGAAATTGATCAGTAAGAAAACACATATGCACATACATGTGCACACACACACACACACCCTTCCAATGGAAGGCTGCAGTTGTTAAAAAGAAATACTCTCCCATTTTTCCAGAAAGAGAGGGTATAAGCAAGATGATAACATCACTGATGTTCAGAATGAGGGTTTATTGCTGCCTCTAGTATGCTTGATTTTAAATGCCACAGACCCCTGAATAGGCTGTGGCAATGACAGAATGTTCTGTCAGCAGATCATGGAGGGACTGACATTCCTGGTCAAATCTGTGGCATTAAGTTTCCAGTGTACCAACAACTCCCCAAAAAGGGAAGCCTCTAACATTAGCAGCTTGAAGGTGAAGCCATTATTGCATGTGAAGTGCACTTTCTGCTGAGAGGAGGTCTGGGGTATGTTTTCCACCCTTGGGTACACTTCCAGAACCACACACGCTTAAGCACTCTCCTCCCTTCCAACCCTTTCCCGGCCACGCTGCTTTCCTGTGCCACCCAAGACTTTAAGCCAGTTGCCACCTCTTGCTGCCCAGCAGAGTGGGAAGCACTTCTTGCTTTTATGTGCCTGTCTCGGTCTCACCTGTCTCTGGTGACAGCATTCTAGCCCATGTGTCCTGATTCATGCTCCTCTGCTCCTTTCCTCTCCACCTAGGGTCTCTACAGGCTTGTGTACCCTGTGGCTATGCCCCTTCTCTTTGGGGCTGTTCCATGTAATCCCTGCCAGCCTCAGGACCAGGGGCAGGATCAGAGAAACAGCAAACTTAAAAGAGAAGCTGATCACCTGGCACCTGTGAGGTGCTACTCCCCAGGCAGCCCCTCTCATGTCCTTCTGGTTGTTCCTGGTTCCAGAGTACCCAGCTCCAATTGCATTTTGCAGAATCTTTGTACTGCTCAGTTTGTAAGTACAGATTCCTCCATGTAATCAGGCATCAACTAGCATTCCATCTGAAATGCATTTTTAAATCTTTCTTCTCTCTGCCCTCCCTTTAATAAAAAGTGGAAAGTTGGCTTTTTTCTTAGGGATATATATCAGATGACAAACATTTCTAGAGGTGACTTGAGAATTCCAGCAAAAACTTTTTTTTTGAGACAGGGTCTTGTTCTGTCACCCAGGCTAGAGTACAGCAGCATAACCATGGCTCACTGCAGCCTCAACCTCCTGGGCTCAAGTAATCCTCCCGCCTCAGCCTCCCAAGTAACTGGGACTAAGCCTCCCAAGTAACCAGGCATGCACCATCACGTCTGGGTAATTTAAAAATTATTAGTAGAGACAAAGTCCCGCCATGTTATCCAGGCTGGCCTCAAACTCCTGAATTCAAGTGATCCTCCCATCTCAGCCTCCCAAAGTGCTGGGATTATAGGTGTGAGCCATGTGCCCAGCCTCAAAAACTTTTTAAAACTTTTATTTATTTTTTCTTTCTTCTTTTCCCTCAGGTTTCCTGCCTTTAAGCCAAAAGCTTTTAAGACTTATTTTTGTTCAAAGTGTTAAGACAAAGTAGTACCTCAGCAAATAAAGACCCTTGCCATCCCAAAATAAATGCAAGTGGTTTTTGATTCCCTAGAAGTACTCTTCTGTGCTGGAAACTGAAAGAAA